GTGTCTTATATCGATGGAAGTATGAATTTCTAAAGTTTTCTTTGTACATTCAATCATTATTATTGCTGATTTGATCCCGTCTTAGTCATTGTATAAAATTAAGACCGGACTCATTGTCTTATTGTTGAATATTACTAGAGTAGATTGAAAGTGCTTGTTTGGTCCTCGTCGCGAATGATTAGCGATGGGTTTCCTGTGTTTTTTGTAGCCAGTTCTGCGCACTAACAATGTCTCGTATTGCTAGACAAGATCTAAAGTGCATGTTTGATCCTCGTCATGATTAAATAGCGTAGCCAAATCTGCAATGGTTAACGATGGGTTTTCTGTGTCTTTGTACCCAGTCCTGCGAAAAACAAACAAATAGTGTGGCATGATGCGCATATTGTGGTAATCCTGGTAAATTTAGAGCAAGAGAGAAAGGAAAAGCAAATGGCAGCAATTTTGTGTTTTCCCTCTCTTGGTTTTCTCTCTCTCTCTCTCTCACACAGTCTCTCTCAGGTTATCTTAAGATTTGCTGAATACTGTATATCAAGCGCCAAATGCATCATGGATTACCATAAATACATATGACATCGTTAAATTGACATTTACCTTTTCTGAAATACATAACCGCAATGCATTGTGGTCTAGCTTCAGTACAAACAACACCAAATTTGGCAGCATGAACTAAAGATGTTTGTCCCGAATCCCAACAACAATGCAATGCAAACTGCTATCTTCAACCTATTGGTGAYACTGACGAGCACGTAATTTGGATGGCAAACGTATGCTAGTTTGTTATTATTCTGTTCCGTGTTTTATGCGGCATTACATTATGACAAAAGGTGTACCAACCAGCATGCATTTCGGCCTTAACATACAGTATTCATTCCAATCTTAGGTGAGCACGTGGTTGTTTAATCACCAACCTTGCAACGCCAGAAGACTTTCCGTGTAGAAGAGAATACATGCGAGACTCCACGGTGTGTTCAATTACAAATCGATGGACATGTGTTGGTCTGAAACACAAACCAAGAATTTCTGTGTACGTTCATTAAAAAGGAATACAGTATATTTCTTACGTTACTTATGCATTGCAGGGGCGGATCCAGGAGGGGTGCGGGGCACTCAGTAGGGGGTGCACCCCACAAAAAAATCATTACCATGAAGATACAAAATAAGGAAATTATTGAAGGATACAGATCTCAGGGGGGATGCGCACCCCCTGCACCTACCAGCTGGATCCCCCCCTGCATTACCAAAATAACGGAATACAAAACAAAATAGCCTGTTCTATCATTAGCCTCCTCTCACGATGTTACGAGAATCATTTTCAGGTCACTTCGAGCGGGCCTCGTAATGGCTGCAAGAGGGGACTTACTATGTCATAGGCTGCCCAACTGTTACTCCAAAAGAGAAAAGAACGAACTGCGCAAGCTATTATACTGACAAGCAGTCATGTACACACACTATGATTGGATTAGAAAGAAACATTTCACATGCCGTGAATGATCGCATAGCGAAAAACTGCCGAGGTCTTGATGAACAGACCGCAGGTCGCTGTCCGCTGGACGGTTTTTCACCAGTATACATTACGTCGTGGCACAATAATCTATATTATTAGCTATTGTCACAAGAAACCAACCTTGTTTGTCCAATACGATGAACTCGACCGATRGCTTGTAGTTCATGAGCAGGGTTCAAAGCAGGTTCTACTAGTAACACGTGGGTAGCCTCGATAATATTCAAGCCATTTGAACCAGTTTGTAGTGGAAGAAGCATGACATTGACAGCAATATCAGTCTTAAACTCATCAAGCTTGCACTGGAGTAAGACCAAAAAAAAGATTATTATACTAAAAAACAATAGACCTTTTCTAAAATACAAAATCATAGTGCATTGTTGTCTAGCCTCGCACAAACTACCATATTTGGCAGCATGAACAAAAGATGTTTGTACTGAACCTTGTAGATCGCAATGCAATGCAATGCAAATCTCAGAAAAGGCCAATGTTGTCTGGAGCTTTGATCYGCCACTCTTTCTAGCGCATCCGTTCAAACATTACACTGAATATGCCATGGAGCAACTTAATGCCATTTGATGAACCACCATTCTCGTACCCAGTTCTTTCTCAGTTTCCCTCACTTTTTCAACGCAAAATCGAAAAGGCTCTGGATGGAGACGATACCGGAAGACCCAGAATATGGGTTTATGACCGATATGATGCATGGGAATTTTTAAACCAATCAAATCAAAGAATCATTCGCTTCCAACCTGATTATTCTATTTTCCGTTGGGAACCTGAGAATTAAGGATCTTGGTACTTCATTTTTTTTCCAATAGAGGGAAAACTAAGGTATAACGTAGTACCTGAAGTCGTCTGGTACAAGTGATATGTCTAAATAAGAYATCGTTCTCTACCAGTGCTCTACCAATGAGCTCCAGCACATCCTGCCACTGATGACAAATATCAGTCAGTCAATCAATCATTTAAT